ATACACAAAGACTCAAAACAAAGGGATGGAGAAAAATTTGCCAACCAAATGGAGAGCAAAAATAAATAAATAGAAAGCAGGAGTTGCAATTTTTGCTGATAAAATAGATTTCAAAGCAACAAAGATCAAAAGAAGCAAAGAAGGATACTACATAAAGATAAAAGGATCAATGTAACAAGAAGAGCTAAAGATCCTAAATATATACGCACCCAATACAGAAATACCCAGATATATAAGACTTATAAAGAGACTTGGACTCCCACACAATAATAGTGGGAGACTTACAGATCAATGAGACAGAAAGTTAACATCGATATTCAGGACTTGAACTCAGATCCGGAACAAGTAGACTTAATTAATATTCATAGAACTCTCCACTTTAAATACACAAAATATACACTCTTATCAGTACTACATTACATGTATTTACAGGTTTAAATGAAATATTGGTTGGCTGCTTGTTAATTATTTTCTTCCTTCATTTTTTTTATGTCTCTATTATTAAACACAATTACAGGCATACCCAGTTTTAGACTGCATTCTAGCCCGGGCAATAAAGCAATACCACTGTTCTCTCTCCCTCTTCCTCTTCCTCTTTCTTCCTTTCCTTTATTCTTTTTCTTTTTTTTTTATTCTTTTTCTTTCTCAAAAAAAAAAAAAAAAAAAAAAAAGATCTTGGCAGTGGAGCCATTGCTGGTAAAGATGAAATCTGCAGCGCATCGGTACCAATGGATAGTGTGAGATGATATGAAGGCTACTAGAATATGTTTGGGCAGAGAGACTGTGATTTAAGTTGTGACGCTGAATTTGCGAGAATGATGGGAATGGATGGAAAGTACTTGCCACAATGCAAGTACTGCTAGGGTGGAATCCGCAGAGGTCTGTGCAAAGGAATGGGAGTAGGCATGAGCAGTGGCAGAACCATCCAGCCTGGGCAGTAAAGAGGTGCCCCAGAAAGTGTCATGGGTATGAGAATTGCTGGCACATTTCCTCTTGGCTTTGGGGTTAGTTAGGGAGTACAGTCTTCATTGGAGGCATTGTGAGGTGTTACCGGAAGATCCACTGGCATTTAATGAGAGCAGGTGGAGGACTCGGGGAGGGAATGATGGGAGGCTGTAGGAAAGTTTGTTCTTAGTAGAATCAAAGCTCCAAAAACATTTGGGAAAGTGTTTAGGATAATAGCTCTTAACTCTGGCGGCACAAGGGAGCGTTTTTTTTTGTTTGTTTGTTTTTTAATACCTAGAGCAATTACATCAGAACCAGTGAGGCAAGACCCTGGAGTGAGTCTTTATAAAACTCCCACCTGCTTCCTCTGTGTGTGAGAATTTCTGATTTTGGAAGAACATGAATGTGAGTCAGGAGTGGGGCAGGCCTGAAGGAGGAGGAGGCCTTTGGGGGGGGGGGCATTGCAGGAGGAAGTATTCCTGGGCAGCAGCAGTTAGAGAAGCAGTGAGATGGGAGAGCATGGTGGGAACATTCACAGGCAGGGTGCCAAGAAGGCAGGATTTTGGTAATAAAGGGCTTTTTGAGCTAATCAGCCCCAAGTTTCCAATTCAAGCGTGGGTGTGAGGAAGAGTGGCGTGACTGAAATAATTGTCTCTTCGGTATGTTGGAGAGACCATCCACCTAGAACTAGGATTTTGGTATTTCTGCATTATTAAAAGGCCATGAGGTGCAAGAAAGCCTCATCCATTATTCATGTTTGTTTCAGGCTAAGTGCTAGATCCCCAGATGCTGGGAATTTATAAATGTCTATTTAGAAAGCACTGACCATGATACAAACCGCTCTTGAGTTGTTTTCGCTGCTTAATCCTGTTCATCACTCTCTCTCACTATTGACCATTTGCATCTGTGTTCACTGATTACTGAAATCAGAATTACTTTTAGGAAATATTCTATTTTGCATGTATTTGGGTGTGTTTGTTGGGAAGACAAGGTACCTGAGGAGAGAACTATGTGTGTGAATATAAATATATATATATCAAACATTTCAAATATGACGTAGGTCGTCTATGGCATGCTTTTGCGATGACTTTTCTTGAAACTGTTGAAAAGATTTGCCTTAATCAGACCCTGTGGCTCCCCTACAGATACCTTTTCCCCTAATTTAAGCCTAGCCTGGTTCCTATCCTGACAGTGCTTTGCATGTATCACATTTGCAAGGAATATATAAAAAATAACCTTAAGCTTTACATTAGAGCTGTGTGTTCAGAACTTTTATTCAAAATCAGAAAATCCTACAGGCTCAACTATCAAAATTATATGCACTGGCCCAGGAGATCACATCCCTGTCCCAAGACCATGCTGGTTAAATCCACCACAGGGAACAGATGATGGCAAGAGGCCCCTGGCTCACCTTCCCACTTCCACTCGCACCCTCTACAGCCTTTTCCTGCGGAGCCACTTCCTAGGGGACCTATCCTGTAACACTCAGTGTTCATAACCAGGCACTAGTCTCTGAACGGAAGCTCCAGATGGAAATACCCTGATATTCAGAAAAACTTTCTTTCCTTCGCTTCCTTATTTTTCTTCCATTTCTATTCCTCTCTGGCTGCTCATCCTTCTTTACTTCCTTTGCTGGCTGCCCTTCCTCCTCCCTTGCAATGCTAGGGCTTTCCTTGGTCCCCTGTCTCTAGGATACAGCTCTTTCAGCAACATTGCTTAGGGGCCGAGCAGCCAGGCTGTGGCCAGCGGCCTGGGCATGAAGCCTGCTGTCTCCACTTAATAGCTGTGTGAGCTAGAGAAACTTACTTAAACTTTCTGTGCCTTGGATTTATACACCTATAAAGTGGAGATAATGGTGTCTTACAGATAAAATGAAGATTAAATGAATATAAAGTATTTAGAATTTTGCCTTACACATAGAAGCTCTCAGTCATGTAGATGATGATGATTATTTTTTTTTGAGATGGAGTTTCATTCTTGTTACCCTGGCTGGAGTGCAATGGTACGATCTTAGCTCACTGCAACCTCTGCCTCCTGGGTTCAAGCAATCCTCCTGCCTCGGCCTCCCAAGTAGCTGGGACCACAGGCATGAGCCACCATGCCCAGGTAATTTTTATATTTTTAGTAGAGATGGGGTTTCACCATGTTGACCAGGATGGTCTTGATCTCTTGACCTCGTGATCTATCTGCCTCAGCCTCCCAAAGTGCTAGGATTATAGGCGTGAGCCACCGCGCCTGGCCGTAGATTTTTTTTATGATTATCTTCTACCTCTCTCTCTTGATATTCTCCCTGACCAATGTGGATAACAATTATCCACATAATGTAGTTGGTTCTTGGATTTCCATTTCAAAAATCTGTTCTCTGTTCAGAGAACCACATATATATTTCTAACTGTGTCTTGGGCATCTTTTATAGATGCCTAGTTCATACCTCTAATTCAGTATTCCAAAAGAAAAGGCACTGTTACGGACTGTCGTCTGTGTCCCCCCAGATTCGTATATGGTAATCCTAATCCCCAGTGTGATAGTATGAGAAGGTGAGGCCTTTGGGAGGTGACAAGGTCATAAGGGTGGTGCCCTTAGGAATGGGATTAGTGACCTTGTAAAGGAGATCCCTGAGAGCTCTCTCCATCTCTCCACCATGTGAGGGCACAGGAAAACGTCAGCAGTCTGCCACCCAAAAGAGGGTTCCTCACCAGAGCCCACCCATGCTGGCACCGTGACCTCAGATTTTCAGCCTCCACATGGAAGTTTGGGTTGGAACTGTGGGAAGTGAACATCTGTTGTTTAAGCCGCACAGTCTGTGGCACTTTGTCAGAGCTGCCTGAACTGTCAAGACAGGCACCATCTCTATACCCCGAGGCCTCCTGCCCCTGAGTTTGCTACTCTGACGTAGAGGCAGAAACTTGACCTTCTGCCCCACCCATTCAGCGTTCATCACGGGATTCTCTAAAGGCCACTTGAACAGAACCTTTTAGCCTTGTTCTCTTCATCTCACTCCTCCGTCATCATCCCAGCTCCATCACACGTCCCTTCCTGCTTTGACTCACCTTCTCACTGAAGTCAGGCTGATATTTCTAACACATATTTTCAACCATGTCTTTCTCCTGTTTACACCTCTCCAATCTCCATTAACTCAATAACTGAATCTCAGCTCCTCTCTCTGGCCATGAAGGTCTATCCAGACGAAATTCCTACCTATTATTCCAGGCTTACCAGAAGCAATATGCTTGTACAAAGTCTTTATCTATTGTTTGCTTCTGTGTTTATTCACGCTGTTCCCTCCAACTAGAAATCTTGTGTTTTTCCCTCACCACTATTGCTGATCAAAACCTAATCTTCCATTAGGGCCAGGCATCAAACGTTAGCCCCTTTTCAGATTTCCTCAAAGTGATGATGCCTCCGTCCACTGAGCTCCCATATAGCACTTTGCAACTGCGGCCTTTCCCACCCTCTGATTACCTCCTCAACCTCGACATGCTTCTTTTATTCCTCCTTCTAGATCATAACTTCCTCAAAGGCACTAAGTATATCCCCTAAAGCTTCGAATGGGATAAAATGAATGGCAATAATCACACCAGGAATTAAGCTCATTTATTCTGCAAAGCAGCAGCCTGTTGTCAAATGCTAACCCGCTCCCTCACAGCCCTCATAAAAAGAACGGGAAAGCATGTAAATGAAGCAGCACACCAGAGGAGCATACAGTGTGAGCAATTATGCCAATTCCTTTTATAGGAAGAACGCAGCTGAGATAAACATGGAAGGAGATTATTTACCATCCACGGGTCCCGTTGCCAAATTCTTCTAAATTTTTCATTAACAGAAATCAAGGAAGGTAAACAAAGTAGCCCTTGGGAGGAATCTGAATAAATAGCTCATGTATCAGCATGGCCTCAGAGAAATGTCTATCCTTTTAAACTGCATCCTTTGGGGCCAAACACATGTCTGCGCACTTGGGTACCCACACTCAGCCACGTCTCCAGGTGCGCACAGCCAGGCAAAACCTTGGCTTCCAGGTGAAGGTGAAGAGGGCAGGCCAGGTGGGAGGCACTTACCTTCAGGGCGTCCTGGGTGTCATCCAGACAGTAGACGCGGATGCTGTACTCCAGGGAGGAGCAGCACAGGGGCCCGAAGATGGCCAGCTTCAGGCGCTTTGCAGCCGCTTTGGTGGTGGAATGCCCGACCAGGGCGTAGGTGCTGAGGTTCTCTGTGAGGATGTGACAGGCCTCTGCATCCAGCTGAATGTAGCAAGGGGTAGTGAAGTTTTCTTCTCCAACCACCACCACATCCTGGGAGACAAGAGGGAAGGGTCAGAGCTAAGCCACCCAGAACACACACGGGCCACCAGGGATGGTGGTGAATGACAGTGGGTAGTGCAGGACCTATTCCTTTCTTGGTCTTTTTTCTCTCTCATGTTTTATGCTCTGTCTACTTAAGTTCTTCATCACTGTGTCTCTTTATACCATTGTCTTTACACTGAGAATATTCTTTATTTAGATATCCTTCAGTTTGCAGTTTTTGATCTTCTAAGAATCTATATTTTCCCTAAAAATCTGTACATGTGAAAAGAATTAGATAAATTAAGGAACTGTGCAATAATACATTAATATGCAATTCTACTATGCTCTTTCAAAACTCACCTGACATTTTCTTCCTAAAGAAATACACTGCTTTTCCTAAGTCATCTTGGTTGTCAGATTCTAAGAAAAGCAAGACATGACAAATTCCATGACACATAAGATACATTTCTGTGTTACTTTTCATGTGTCATTCAATAGTCTACTCTTTTAGACATTGAAAACATTTAGCAAGAAATAAAAATAAATGGATGTGATGATTTTTATTTAAAAAATTAGTGGCTAATTTAGCCAGGTTTTGATTCATCTATATAGTTCAGGTCACAGAACATATAATCTGAAAGACCAAGTATGGGACCCCAAAACCAAGGGCTGCGATTCCAATTGCATCCTGGGGCAACCAGGTGACAGAGGCATGTGAAGCAGGCAGGGCCACAGTCAGGGAGGAATGATGGAGACTGTGGAGAAACAGAGCGCACGTCTGTCTAAAGAGCTCAGCCTCCACTGCGCTTCAGCCCCTGGCTGCTCTGCAAGAAAGCAGGCCAAGCATGGGCAAAGCCTCGCATGTTCCAAGACACACTGGAAGTTCAGATTTTAATGTGCAATCTTCCAACTTTTAATTAACTCAAATTTAAAAGAAGATCTCAGACAGAAGAAATACACACATGATCATGAGTCAGTCTCTGTACTGTCAGACATGGAGTCAGTCTTTCTGTAGGGGCAGGACTCATGTCAACTTTGATTCCCACTGTATTCCAGTGGCCTGGCTCAGGGTGAGTGTCCAACAACTATTTGCAGAAATAGTGAATGAACACTTTGTTATAAATTTAGTTCAGAGGGCTATGCAAAGATATGAAAGAGATCACCACCTAGGTTATTATTTATTAGTTGGGCCTTGCAACATCATCTGAGCTATAACAGAGCCGTGTTTTAATAGCATCAGTGAAATAATTTCTTCTACTGAACCTAGACCTCCAGAGGAAGCTCCTAAAAAGGAAAAGAGAGAAAGAAGTTCAGAACCTCCAGGTTTATTGTAGGCATAAAAGGACACCTGGAAAACAGTCGCTTTCTCCAGGACAAAGGAAAGCCTCTGGTATCACCTAGTGGTGACATGGTACGGAAACCTTCCTGGAAGACTTGGCCGAAGAGTAATGATGTCCACGTCCCAGTCACGCACGAGTACAAGGGGGCTTTCATGAGGACTGCCCTCTTCTTTCCTCATTGGCTCAGTTTATCGTTACTGTTGTTACTGTTACCACTTAAACTCAGAAATGGATAGGGTGGTAGGAAGAGAATCATGCAAACAATTTAGGATCACGTCGGATTAAGACTGGATGTCTTCCAGATGAATCATTTAAAGGTTAAATAGAATTAAAGTTAGATCTGGATAAGTCTGGTCATAACTCAAGATCGAGTATGTTTATTTATTAATTGTGTACACTTCGGCAAAGAGCGATCCCCTGATATGGCCAAGAGTAGAACATGCCCATAGAAAGGAAATCCCGGTTAATCCCAGGTTTTCTCTGCTGCTCTTCTAGATCTAATACTGTATTTCCTTCAAATATTAGGAACTGGAATCTTCATGTGCGTCTTTTCTAAAAAATACTTTTCCTAAAAAATTATCATAGGTAATCACAAAGTATATACGTTTTGCATATGAAAACTTCCTATTTTATGTTTTACATTTTATACAAGTATTAATGTATAGTATTAAAATTATTGAATATTTTTGTTTAAACATATTACTGAAATAGAGGTGCAAAGTGGAGGGTTCTAATATAATGAACTGGACTTGTTTAAAGCATCGTCCTTAAGAAGTTATGATGGCAACAGCTGCAGAGAGCCAGAATGCCACGGATCGTTTTAATTCTAGTGGAGCTTTGGAGACACACCTTTTCTGTTCCCAAGGTTAAGTTCACAAGAACTATATCCCAGGTATGTATCTTCAAGTAAGTGCCTAACATTTTCTGACCCAGTTGCAACGTTTCTGTACCTGCAAATTTATATGTATACATTTGAGATGGAATCTCACTCTATCACCCAGGCTGGAGTGCAGTGGCACGATCTCAGCTCAATGCAACCTCTGCCTCCTGGGTTCAAATGATTCTCCTGCCTCAGTCTCCCAAGTAGCTGGGATTACAGGTGCATGCCACAGCACCCGGCTAATTTCTCTATTTTTAGTAGAGATGGGGTTTCACAATGTTGGCCAGGCTGATCTCAAACTCCTGACCTCAGGATCCCCCTGCCTTGGCCTCCCAAAGTGCTGGGATTACAGGCGTGAGCTATCCCATATATGTATATATGTATGAAGTATACATATACACATACACATTATATATATACATATATATAATTGATATTCCAAAAGGCACATGGCTAAGACTCTTATGTGCACTTATCCTATGAGTTATCTAATAAGTGACCATCATTTTCTGTGTGCCTATCAATCAGTAGACATAACTAACACTCAGGAACTAGTCTGCCTGTCTCTCATTTTGAGGGTGAGCTAAAATTCCACTGTTCTGCTTTAAAAATAAAAGGCCTGCCATAACTGCTTCTGCTTATCTGCACGGATTATTCTTGCACAGCATCTTTATCCCCACAGCAGCTCACCTCCCACTGTCCCTGTGCTGCCTGGTTCTTGAGCAGTATCTTCCAGTCCTCGGTATTGGGGTCCGCGCAGTGATGCATAGTGAGGACGATGGGGCGGGTGAGCAGGGCTCCTGGGGGCCCACAGCTCACCACAGGGGTCAAGAGTGTCTGAGAGTCATCCATGGGAGGCCTGGAAGGAGAGCAGAGAAAGGCATCAGTGACATTTCCATTGTATTTATGAACTACGCACTTGGGTTCTGAGAGCTACAGTTGTTATGCAAACAGGTCAAGTAGTTTTCTCTTGGAATTCTTTTTGTTTTCTGGGGAGTGGGCGTTGGGGAGAGGAAATAGGTGATGCAGAATTAAGTGCTCTTTATAACAAGACCTTGATCTTGCAGGACTTGAAGTCTTTATGATAACAATAAATTTGCCAGCATCTCTTTGATCCCCTTTTCTCCGACACAGGTCTTCTTGTGGTAGCTTCCTCTGAATCTATGTACAGACACTTTCAAGATGGAATGAGAATGAACAGAGTCCCTATGAAGTTACATAACCAGGTTTTCTGATAATTCTTGCCACTGGTCTCACAGGGTTTTAAATACTTTTGTGTTTTCAGGACCTGACTTGAAAAATACTTTTAAAAAATCATTTCAGAATGAGGACACTCTAGAGCTAAACTTAGTCCAAATGACTTTCAGGAATAATTTAGGCTAGTACAGCAGATTCATTCTGTCAAATATGACTAGAAAGAATATAGAACTGTATTTATACAGCAACTTAAAATGAGATCTCTTTACTTGTACAGTTCATACTCAGAGAATCTGGACAGAAAGAACCTCAAAAATACAGATTCTTTATTTTTATATATAAAAATTACCTTAAATCTTTTCCCTAACAAGACTGTAATCAACAAGCAAATGGATAAACTAACCCAACCTATCAGTAAATTTGTGAAGATGTAGTTCCAAAGGTGTTGAGTAGATTGCTCAGAGTCTAACGAATAAGTGCCCATTAGTGCTAAGATGAAAATGAATGCCTTCTCAACGACAATATTCAAGCTACTCAATCAGAATAGCATAGCTTTCGAAATCATGGACTCTCAGAATTTTTGAAGAACCTGTGGCAGTCACTGGGAAGCACCTTCTATCCAAAACCTCTCTACAATATGGCAGAAGGATAGTTAGTGCTATACTCACATCCAAAACTGCAGTCCACTGCTGCTAAAAGGTTACCTCATTTACCATCAACTCAAATTTACAAAAATTCTTATTTAGAATGAGCCCAATCTGACTTCCTGAAATTTCTCTGTTCGTATCCTTGACTTGCTTTTGAGGCTACATTGTTTCTGTATTTGGAGATCGTTATGATGTCTCTACAGTCTTTTTTATTACAGAACAAACAACCTCAATTTTTCCAACCTCAGCTGGAATAGCATGGCTTCCAGATCTCTCGTTAGGTTTCTATCTTCGTTTTCATATGGACACTTGTCATTGTTTTCATGGTTCTTGTTAAAACGGTGGCATCCTGAACTGAACTCATCACTCAGACAGTATGAGGGAGTGTTTTGATTTGCAATCTGTGTGTATATTCATGCCTCACAAAATTGTTCCGTTGATTATTCTCAATCAAGGAATTACTTATAAATATTATTTAGCAGGCTCCAGTTACATGGGAAGATGGAGATAGTATGGTTAAGCATTTCCTTTATAAAATGAAGCAATGAAGTTCCAAGGAAGTTAAGAAATTTGTTAAAGCTAACCACTCTACATATTCCTAACATGAAAGGCTCTTAGGCTAAGTCTAAGGACGTGGTTCTTAGGCTAAGTCTAGTTTCATGATTGTAATGATGGCTTTTAAACATAGGCACAAAAATTTATATTTAGTTTTTCATTTGAACTTAATAGTTTCAGGGTAAATTTGGTGTCATCTATTTCTTAATGCTGTATCTTTCCTCCAAACATTGCCTATGTCTTCCAGTCTTTTCTCCTCCCTAACCCTGATATGCTTACCATTTATGTTCTCATTCTAACCACTGATAACTTTGCAACACAAGAGTTGGAAATTTCAATATTTTCAAGGACCCCATTTGAAATCTCTTTCCAATATGACGTCAATACTTTGAGCTATATAGTTCCACCAAATGTAAACCCATTAAAATGGACATTGTCCACTTCACATCTTTTGATCTAATTCACATGCATATGACAAGGGACAGATCAAATTTCTATTGCAATAGTCACTTGAAATTTGTTTTTCTCTAGTCTTTATCTATGGCTTACATTTTATTTATTCCATATGCTAGAAGTTTGCTTACATCTATGGGTTATCCTTGTTGAACAGTCAATGAATGGTAGCAGTTGTTATTATTTTTAATATTGTTGGAAGACAATTATCCATGAATTTCTCATGTTTATGCATGGATGTTTGTATAGCAGTCACCTTGAAAAATAAAGACAATGTTTACTTCTGGAGCAAATGGCAAATATGTGTACTCCTAATTATAAAAGACTCAGGTTCCCTAAGCTCACAGGTCCTTTTCTGGAATGCAACAATTGAGTATGTAGATTTCATCTGAATCTTTTTAGATTACCATTTCTAAAAGGGGACTCACAAAATTGGCACAACGACAATGGTACTCTGTATAGCCCTATCGCTGTGGGTAATAAGCTGTCTGTTGTCTTTGATCCACAAATCTTGTGTCTTCTATCAGCATGCATAAAACTGTGGCGGCTAACTTGGTAGCTCACAAGCAAGTTTAAATCTTAGAGCTTTCACAGTTGACTATTAGTTCTAAGAATGCAATTAAAATTTGGCATATGTTTCCCTTAATAACTCTTGGCTGTCACTGCTTCCTCTCTTATTCTAAAACTGTACTAGGATCTCAGCAACCTATGGCTTTTCTTTTTTCCTGTTTAGAAAACCAACACAACTTTCACCTACTTTTAGTCTTTTAATAGCATTTACGTTCTCTTTGAGTAATAATACCCTTTCCTCCATTAAATCTAAAGTTATCTAGGTTCTTGGGAATGTACTTAAATTTGGAACTGTAAGGTTATTGGAAGCAAATTGAGACCTCTTTTCTATCCCCATTACCACCTTCGTTTTCATTTTCTCTTAACCCAGCTTGTCCTTCTTTCAGTCTGAAATTCATTCTCTTAAACACAAGTCAAGTTCTGCTTTCATTGTGTCGTAATTAATACTATACTATCTGCCTTAAGCAGTGACTTTATTATTGCTTAATTCTATTTTTCCTATCCTGGAGGCGGAAAAAACAATGATTGCATTTTTCTGAGCACTAATCTTACCTTCTAGTTACAAGCGTACCTTGAGAAGTGAACATTAAACTTTTAAAGAAGGAGACTACAGTGGAATCTATTTCAAGTGGTCTTTGCAATACAGTTGGGGATTGGAAACATCTATCTCTCAGTCTGGTGTTAGCAGCCGGTGCTTAAGGCAGGAAGGAGGAGGGGTTCTTCTCATCACTGACTTGGAACAGAAGGGCGAAGACTGCCTGCTGGGCTGGGGAGCTGTCAGACCTGTACTCTCCAAGTACACCCCTGGCATGCAATATTGATGGGCACCATTCTTGGAAGAGGGATAGCATAGGAAGGAGGGGCAGTAGGTGTCAAAAGAATTTATTAACCCAGTGAGGTGCAAGAATGTAATGAATAGGGAAGTGGTAAAGTGGAATTCATAACAGGGAATGAAAAACAAAGAAATAATGGTAAGATTCTCTTATAGGCTTTCAAGATGAGAGAAGTAGCATTGAAATTGGAAATATCTGAGCATATATGGAAGGAGTTAGGCAGGATAAGATTTAACTATGTGAAAACTAAGGTCAGAGTGTGTAACACATTTCCTTCATTTACACAAAGGAAGATATTAAAATACATAGAAAAGAGCAGAAAATAAGTATCTTGGATTCATGTTTTTGCAGAGAAGAGCTTCACTATGTCTCACATGTTTTCTAAGCAATTCAAGCAAACAATTTGTAAATATTGATTGCAAGTGATATGAAAATGAACATAGAGCAAAAATGAGCTGCAGAAGCGGCAATTAGGTAGAAAATCAGCAAAGAACAATGATTAAAATTTTAAATGTTTTCCTAAGTCCAACAAAAATAATATTCCAGTAAATGCTGGATGGGTGCTGAGTCCTCTAGGACAAAGCCCAAAGAGAGAAATGTCAGTTTCCTGTCAGAAATATTTTCTCATCCTTTGTCAGTATCAGTGAGGAGAACTTCTAATCAAGAGTGCATAATTTACAAAACTTTCACGTAAACCATTGCATTACCTGCTCATGGTACACCTGTAAGTTTGTTAGTGTATGTCTATTACCTCTTTCCAGAAGATGAAACTGAAATCCGCTGATATTAACACACTTGTCTGAGGATGTAAAGCTCGGTTTCAAACACAAATCATTTAATTTCTTTCACACAATGCTGTATTTTGGGTTGCTTAGAGTGGGTTTAAGTCTTTGTGAAACTATCATTGTCTGTTACCTAGAGCAGGCTCAAAACTCCTTGAAAAGAATCTGTCTCCATCCACCTCTGTGGGAATAGGAGATGCTTTCTAGTAATGGACATCTCTTTTGTCTGGTCCCTCAGGATGATAATCCCACCCTAGGCTCAGCTGCCTTTTAAAGCACAGGCCTTCACACATAACTGGCAACTTGAAATATTCGCACTCTAGGTACCTGACAGGGACTATCTAACTCACTTGCTATCAAAAGCTCAATTGTGCAAAAATAGTATTTATGAAAGCCACTCCAAAGGGCGTGCCACCATTTCCCTAAACAGACCAAAATCTATCCCTGGATCAAGCCAGAACTCATACGCATTATGCTTATCTACTTCACTGAGGGACACTGATAGAAGCAGCCCTTGAAACTCATTGTTGGTTTTCTTGTAAGGATGGTGTTCACTGTATTAGCAAAATGTCTTCTTTATGAGAAACCAAAGGAAAAATAATTGAGTTTCTTCTGAGCGTATTTTTTTCCTCATGGACACGCGGATCTTGTTACTTAACACATTCCCTTATTGAAAGGCTCAGAAATAGTAAATTCATGGCCTGGTACCAGCAAATGTGCTCGGAATTACATTAACTATTTTATATTCTAACTGCTTGCCTACTTTATCTTATCTTTCATAACTTTATTTTCCCTATTTTCTTACCTTTTTTATCCACTTATTTAAATTTATTCCTCTTATCAAAAAGAAGTGTTTTCATAAACTACCTTGAAGCATTTCTTTATAAGTAGGATTTCAATAAATGTACATTGTCAAGAACAGTATGGGGATAAGATTTAAATATATCTGGACTCACTTACCCCCACCGTTAGTCTTTTTATAGCTTTTCCTTCAAACTGAGGCACTTGAGGCTCATGAATGAGAAAGGGCTCTACTAAAAGGAGAGAGATCACCGTGTTTCCTTGAGACAAAATAATGTCAACTACTATTTTCAAAGTTCCAAAAAATAACATGGTAAGCAAATCTATCTCCTATATGATTACTTACATAGGGAATTTTGGACCTCTATCCTAACACATTACTTTATTATTTATATTTAATAACTATATATGATATGTCAGTTGCCTCACCACTAACTCACATCTTAAACCATTGCTAAGGGGACTTCACCAATTAAAAAAAAATCCTGAAGGCCACTGTCGTCCCAACAGTCAGTTGACGAATCTAATCATCTTTTTGTTGTTCTTCCTCTTTCTTTACGTTTTCACTTTAATAACACCCGTTTTCAGGCTCCATCTTGGAGCTCTCTTTACCTCTGATTTTCAAGATCCTGTTTATACCACAGTTTGTCTGTCTACTCTTAAAGCCTTCATTCATTCATTCGGAAATATTCATTGAGGAGCCACTACTCATAACGCAGTAACATATTAAGAACGGTGCCAGATGCAAACTCTTCATTTGCCTTATCCTTACATGGGCCATTTCGTTTCTCTAACCACACCCAAACCTTCTTAGGAATACTTCTTGAAGTTCTTTCCCCAGTTCTTTTTGCCTCTGCATTTTCTCGGCTGGAGGTTCCTTCCCTGCCATGACTTCACTTCCACGTCCCTAGCAGGAATCCACATGCCCACTAACACTGAATACATCCGCACTGGAATCTGTCCTCTCCCCTAGAGCCATTGCTGCCTCTCACCTTTCTCACAATTCTCACAGTGCCCCAGGCTTGATTTCTGAATCTATTCTGTGTGTTCTGCCTCTTTTTTGCAACACTTCTAGCAAGCTGTGAAACACTTTCTCTTCTGAAGTAGATTCTCTTTACACACTTTCCATTCTCTCAGCCTGGGGCCTGGCTCACCCTCTGGCCTGGCTCTTCCTCCTCCTCTTCCTCTCACCTGCAATTGCTGCCAGGGCCACCCCAACACCAAGCCTTCTGGGCAAGTCCTTCTGTTCCCTCCACCCATGCATCCCGCGCACTGTCACCAGATCAATCTTTAAAAAGCGCTGCTATTCCTGTGTCACTCAGCTGCTCAGAAACTTTCTGTGGCTCCCTACGGTTTACAAAACGGCGTTCTATTTACCTTTATATTTGGAATGTCTAAATCGATTTCTTGATCTTCTGATGAAACAGCTAGGTGAGTACACAATGCAGAGAAAAGGGAAAATCAGCTTTCATTTCTTCAACTCAAATTGTTTTTCAACAAGATTAGAAAAAGGACAAAATTTCAGTCCAGGTCGGGTTCCTTTGTGCAAACTGCTACTAGAAACAAGGCAAAAAGGCCCATGTGAGCAGCATTAATTGTGGAAATTGTATCCACCAGGAAAACAAAGGCTTTGCCCCTCTCCAGAGGTCTGTAAAGGGGGAGAGGTAGAAAACCTGAGTGCAGCCTTGTAACTCTGCACCCTCGATGGTCAGAGAACTCTTGTCCCATCTCTGTGGCTCATTCAGGCTATTCAGCTGCCATCCTGCACTGTCGCTTAGAGCATATTCAGTAATGATAAGACCCCTCTTGTCACATCCACTATGCCACATGTAATTAAGTTCACGCCTCTTTTCAGACAATTCACTTCCACAGATGACCAGCTGGATACCATCCAACTGGAAACATACCCAGATTGGGATGCAATAAAAGGAATCAGAGAGAAGAAAAATGGAGAAAACTGCTCAGAATTTTCCTCTGAAAGCATAGTAACATCACAGCTCCTGAGGTCCTCACAGAGTCTTCTCCCAAAGTAGTTCTGTGTTGTATCATGTGTGGATAGAAAGGATCTTTAGTGAGCAAGAGGAAGCGTATCCAAAAACGCACCATAATAAGTAGGCAGAGGTGTGGTTTGTGCATGGGTGCAATGGAGAAGAATGGCACATTAGGAAGCAGAAAGCACTTTGTGGTCAGCAAAAGCCCGAGTTTCAATTCTGCCTCACTCAGCTACCAACTGTGGAACCCGGGCTATGGAAACCAAATCCCCTGTTTCTCAGTTTCTTCGTCTTTAAAGTAGAGCTCATCACAGCTTGCAGAGTGTAGTGAGAAGTGGAATTAAGAGTTTGCCGGATGAAGGGCAGGATACCTTGTATTATGACTATGTTCTAAAGCACATTCCTGTCACTGTGTTTTCACGACAAAAATGCATCTGGTTCATAAGAGAAAACTAGTGATGAGAAGACTTCTCAGTTATGTGACATGGTTAGCCTCCTGTGTTTGTTCCTTCGTTCATAGTCTCTGGAGCATATTTTCTTTTGAGATCTTGAGGTTTCTCTAGCTTTATTTTTATAAACAGAACTTCTTTGATGCACACTAAATTCAACAGATAAGTCCCTCTGCACCTAACTTCAGATGGTAGGCATAGCAAGGAGTGATTTCTGGTTTCCTTTACATTATAGTCAAAGGCAGAAAAGTGCCCAGCTTTATCAATTTTCTGTTTTCTCTTTCCTTCATCTGAAATGTACAATCATCCTGGTTAGGGTGCCCAGGAAACTATGGGAAGAGCAGGCAAGTGAGTGCACACACCTCTTTCAGCTTCAGCCCGTGCCTGCAGAAGCCCCTAAAGGCTTAATCTTCAGCGGCAGATAAGGAGAAGCGGATGGCGAATAAGAGATCCCCGGCAATTCACTGTTTCTCCCCAGAAAGCACAAGCCAATACCTACTTCTGTTTAAACAAAATGTCCACATTGGCAAAGGCCTTGATGGACAGATGTACTTAATGCTAACCTTGACTCTGGATGAGATAAGGAAAAATAAAATAAAATAAAAGAGGAGATCTTGGAGTTTGCTCATCTTCTTTTCTCTTGATGCAAAAGAAGGGAGATTTGAGGGCCTGTGAATGTTGCTTTGCATTGGGAATGAAAAAAAATGAATATTTGATGTGAGCAAATACAAGCCTTTTAGTGATTTTCTGTTGCTCAAATTTAAGGCATGAATAATGCTCAGGAATTGAATTATTTTCTTAGACAGGCTAGTATTTATGTAGGTGGAAGTACAACACCCGAGGAAAAAAATGTTCTGGGTCACACCGATTATAAATGCCAATATCTTCACCTGAGAGCTTAATAAAAAAGCTTTATGGCTAGTGAAGAACAAGACTAAAAGTGGGTGTTTTTCTGAGGATGAGAGCTGGGAAAAGAAAAGGTGTAATGTGTTGTAATGATAACCTAGTTCTGCATTGTCACTCATGCTTTATATTCAGAGCTTAGGGCTGAGGAGCCGAAGGTTTTCCCCTTGGGAAAAACAATGATAATTACATGATGAGGATCTCCATTTTAACAACATCTTTCATTTGAAGATCTGGATGTGCTTCAGAAGCATTAATCAGGCCTCTAAAGCACTATTTAACACACTCATTTTACATGGAAACTAATCAAGAAAGAACAAATACAATTTGTTAGAGTCCAAACTGAAAACTGAATTTAGGACTTCTCAATGCCTCGTTATTTTTACTTAAAATAACTTCACCTGTTTGATTATAACACATTCTAAACAAAACCTTTTAATTCAGCCTAGTTTTATTCAATCCTAGACCCATTCTGAATGACCTAACGTGGAATTTATCAGTGCCAAACCTAAGAAGGAGATTGGTAGCACTTAAGCTACAAGACAGTTACAAAGGGAAGAATCCGTGGGTAAGAATTAAGGGCTAGGCTTAGTGGGACTGGTAGGGATGGGGAGAGTTGTTCAATCCTTTGTGACCTTTGACTCTGTAATGGGAACAGGCTAGATTCCTGAGCCAGATCCCATGAAGTCCATGTCTCTGTCTCTACCCACATGTCTCTCTGGACAATCTAGGGATCACATTTGTGGATGTTTTTCCAGGAAATATGGCAACATGTCCACTTGGGAAAAGATCTCTAGCCTTCTACCCGTATTCAAGATCTGCAAAGTGTTTGGAGTTTCAAAGATAAAGAGAAGTAAAACCTGACCTTTTGTAGGTCAAGGAAAAAAAAATGTATGTATGCCAGAAAATGTATGCAAGGCACTCGAGGCAAAAATATGTTGGGTTTATTGTGTCTATTGTATAATTCTCCTCCAAGTTAGACATTGATAAAGTCAGTGCACCAGAAAAAGCATATTTACCTCATGGTTTCTTTCCTGTGTACAGTCACATACATTTCATAGACTCTCCCTTGAGGAATGGCCCCAGCGGGAATCAGCAAACTGACTCCTGAATAGTAAAAGAGAAAAGCAGTCATATAAGACCTAGGAAGCAAAGCTTTTACAGCATGTAAAAGGGAATGAGATTTTGTGACCATGCAGCCATAAGCCTGCTTCGTTTTCTCTAAAGACATGTAAATATTCCGAGTTGCTCCATTTTCCTTCCTCATTGGCCTCCTTACCACAGCTCCCTCTGAACTCCTAGGGAATTAAAGGAATGATGTAACTTTTTAAACTCCTGTTTTATTTAAGGAACAGACAGATGGTCCCACTGTTGTTTTCCTTGCAAGACAAGGGGAAAACCAACAACCGCTCAAAATTTCAAAGAGCTGTAAGGATGCATCATTTCTAATTTTTTTGAAAAATCTCCACGAGATTCAAAGTCAGGGAAATGCCAACTTCAACCACACAAAAAATGTATTTTTGAAATATCTGGTTAGCATCAGTGTAATTCCATAATGGCATAAGAATTGGTGAAGACCGTTTATTGTATGTAGCTCTAGAAAGTGAACAGTAATTGCTAGCTTAGTCACAGCAGGTCAAAGCGTTTCTAGTTAGTTCTAACTTGTGCCCTTTTGCAGGACTATTAGATTGGGCTGTGTTCTAAGCTGTGTCTGCCGTAGCAGTGGTTTGCAAATTTGAGCTCACATCAGAACCACCTGGAGAGCTTGTTAAACCACAGAACCCTGGTCCCTACCCCAAGTTTCTGATTCAAACATATGAGTGTGGTGTAGGAGATTTTTTTAGTTCAACCAATTGCCAGATGATCCCCAATTTGGTGATCTGGGGCCCACACCATTGCTCATCATCACAAGGAGTGATTCAGGGTAGAGAGCACCCAAAGACTTTTGACTCCATCATTTGATTCCCATCAAATCCAGCTTACTTCAGCCCCATACAAATTTATAAAGCATTTTTGTGAGTATAGTGTTTGGCACTGCTATGAATTTCAAGAAGGAGAAGACAGTCTTTTGTCTAATTTATACTTTAATTAGTGAGGAAATGGAATATGCCTAATGAGCATGAGGTGATACAAAAACTTGCCTGACCACACTTTTCTCTCAAGAGAAAAGAATGGAGAGTTAAGAGGTAGTAGCTATTCACAGGCCTTTATGTAACTGGTTGAAGATGTCGAGCCACTGCCTTCTTGAGAAGGAAAGTGATGTGAGAGCCCTGGTGTTGCAAGAAGTAGACTGTTGGCCAGGCATGGTGTCTCATGCCTGTAATCCAAGCACTTTGGAGGCCAAAGCAGGCGGATCACCTGAGGTCGGGAGTTCAAGACCAGCCTGACCAACATGGTGAATCTCCACCTTAAA